TATATTATTTATTTAAAATAGATAATAATATAAAATATTAAATAAATAATTATACATACTAAATGAAAAAACTAAATAATATAAAATATTATTATTAATATAATATTAAATATTAATTTTCATGTTAATGTAGTTAACAAGTCAAACAAAACCAATTATTTTGCTTCAATTTTTATTTTGTTTGGCACCCATCATTAAAGATGACCGTACTCCAAATGCACAATTATGATGGATGACTTGCATATTAGTGACTGACAAACTACACAATACCGACCGAAATTGACTGATCTATTCTTTTTTTAACTTTAATTTATATATTTTGGTTTGATTATTTATTATCACTTTCAAATTTTTGTTATTCCAGTTCAATAACCGTAATAAGCACTCGAGTTATATAAAAGATTCATGTATAAAATAATAAATAAAATTCTTTCAATACTATATATGTTTTATGATAATAAAAAGATATATTATAGTTTTTTAGCTTGATTTTATATTGGTTATGTATATACTATAAATTTTCAAAAATATTCATATAAAATATTAAAAATACTAAATATATTTTTAGTATTACAATAATTTGTTAAAATACTAAATGATAATGCACGTTAAAAATGTAATCGTATTTTATTCGCAAAATACTACAGATTTCACAATCGTGTTAGAATAAATGCACAGTAAAGAATAATTATATCAATTCACCAACCAATGAACAATACTAACCGAGATGGCATTTAGGCAAATTACGAACCAAATCTACGATTTCATAAAGTCCAACGTGATTTTTTATGCGCATGTTCACACATAGTATTGTGCATTCTATATGGTATTAATGTGCATTTATAAAAACTTTTAGTAAATTACAAAACTGCCACATACTAAAGTGCAAATATACTAAAAGTTGTAAACTGCACCATGGACCTTATGAAATATTTAATTCTAAGAAATAAGCCCTCATAAAAAAATAAAAATAAAACAAAAATGAACTATTTTCTGTATCTGCAAATCTCAAATATATTCGCCGCCGGTGATTAGAGCCTACGTATAACGCCCCACTTTTCATAACTTGAACTTCTTGAATAATTTGTTCTTTGAAACAATACTTGGAAAGCTTTACATAAACTTAGGGCGCTACTAAAATAAAAACTTGCAATTCATTAAAACTTAACTTACATTTCGCAAACATATCATGACTTTGCATTACTTTTGAAAACATTAGGCATAAAAGATAAACTTTTCATGGCACTGCCTCGAGGACTTACGTGTAACATTGGCTTAACATTGTACTTTTCATACCGCTGACATACACTTTGCTTTAAACATGAACATTTCATAAAAACATAACTTATTGCGGAAGCGTAAAACATTATAAAACTCAAATCATTTTTAAACCTATGACCATGTGACCACCCTCGCCATCGCTCCAATGCCAGCTCGCGATGTACCTGGGTGTGGAAAACAAGTAGGGTGTGAGCATTTCCACTTACTCAGTCAGAGATCCTTCTAAGTTAATATCCTAACTATCATGCATGAAATCGTTAAGTATACTCAACATAATCATGAGCTCTCGACGAGTGGTTGCCCACAGGTTGAAAGACTTGCTTGCTTCTACAACCCTATTAGACAACTAAACATTAGAGTCTTTTCATGCACGTGAGTACACTATCGTCACACTCCCACCCCTCGTCAAACTCCTTATACCACTTTATGGTGGTGGGAGAACATTGCCTCTCACAAGTGGCACGGCCAACTAGGCTTGATGAGAGTACCTCCCATGGATTGAAGGAAGACAACCTTCAACTTAGGCTTCGTACGGTCTTATCGACGGGGAAAACCATTCGAAGAGTGCACCAACGTAGGTTACCTGCACGCACTTACATACTCTAACCCTAGCACCTAGCCACCCTCTAGAGTTATAGTCCGTGAACCTTGATACAACAAACGACTTGCTCGAATGTTGGAACATTTTATAAACAAGGGTAATATTCAAGCTACTTAACTTCATTCAAAACATAGATAATCAAGAAGGATAAATAACGTAGAACTTCCCCCACCTTTTATGGAATGCTCGACTTAAAGGCTTGAACTTGAAAGAACTCGAGGGCTCGACTCCTCGTGACTACAATTCGTTGGGACATGTCTTTGAATCTTATCATGGCTTAACTTAATCCCATACTTATTCTTATACATATACATGAACTTTGAAATCTAGCTCGCTCGGCTTCGCCTTGCTCGCATACTTTGAAAACGTTTATGTTTAAGTCTTTTCGGTTGGTTGATAACTTAACTTGCTTAAATTTTATCACATAGGGCATTGAAGGGTCATATAAACTTCAAATAACATGACATGGATCAGTTATGCTACATAAACATGTTTTTAAATAGTAACGATCAACTTGGAATTCCAAACATGAACTTATACAATTTCCAGCACGCGCGATGAACTTAGAATGCATGTAACTTTCAGTCCATAGGTCATATCATGATGATTCAAATTGGAAATTATCCCTAACTCATGCCTCTACAACTTTCATTATGATAACCCAGGCAGATAGGGTCATTTAAATGCACATAATACAGCAAACATATAATTTATAGCTGCAGTCAACGATTGAAATAAAACAGCTGACGGGACTTCAATAATTGCAAGATAAGTGAAGCTACATACATGATTTTAGTGAGATTCAAAAATAAAAAGACAGGTAGCTCAATTATTTAAAATTTTCCTGAAGACCACATTGGCAAATAATGATTCTATCATCGATTGTAAACATAAAACATTCAGTTCATAAAAACTACCAGAAAATAAGTTGATCTACTACAGCACTTCAGTAATTCACATTTAACTCAAGCTATAGACCTCATATTCATGCAATTACAGAACCTACAGAAACTATACACATATGGCTACATATCTCATGAAGACCATTTTCACATTTGAGCATGTTTAACACATCAAAGTGGGACATACATTAAAGGTATATTCTTAGTCATGGCTTTATAAAAACTGGATATACAACTGACTTGTAAAAATCATATAAAATCCATATGAACTCCGGTTCCCAAGATTCCAAAACCTACTGAAACCTAACAAAAGTTTCCACATATCTCATTAAGAACACATTCCCAATAAACATAAATTTCATGAATAACTTCAAGAAATCATCATCAATAATCATTCAATTCAACATAGCACATAATCTTCATTAAGAAAGCCTTATTATCAACTCCTTAGACATTAAACATCTTTTAAAAACACCAAATTGTCCAAGATCCAACTTGGTTTTTCATTAAACATAAAAGAAAATCAGTGAATCTTACATAATTCTCTTGTTAATTTATATATCTTATCGTTCTTAATTAATTGAGCAATAAAATCAGTCCTAGGCTTAAGAAGAATACTGTTCTCAGGAAAAGGATCGAAAAAATGAAAGAAGGGATTGAAGGGCTCGGGATTGTGCGTGGGTTTGAGGGGCTGGTTTTCTTTGGTGATGATTCGGGTCTAGACGTCGTGCAGAGAGAGGGTGATGGCAGCGACTCTTCTCTCTCTTTTTTTTTTTTTGATTTATTGAAAAATATATCACGTAAGAAAAATAAATCTCATGGGTGAGGGTTTTTATTTAAAAGGCTAGGTTTAGGAGACCTAGAATATGAAAATGATTCCTATTTCCATATGAGTGGGATTCTTTGTGGCTTGGTGATCAAGACAAGATTTTTCTCTCTTTTCTTTTCTCAATTCTCACGTGTGAAGCTAGGGGTGGCCGAGTTTATTGATGCTCAATATCTTAGATTAATACTCCTGCTAATTACTGATAAGGTTTTAATTAATTAATCCATCTCATTAATATAATAAAAATAATATTAATATTATGGCTATTTAATACTTAGGAAAATTAAATAGATGAGGACATCTGAATAATTTTTTCAATTATTAACATTCATAAGTGTGGACACTCACTTAATCAATACATAAAAATCGAGCTCACCGATAAAATAAAATAACATTAACATTAATTAAATCATAAATAATCATGAAAAATACTAAATATGCATAAAACGAATGTCATGAGTTTGGGGAGCTACATTCTATCCTCCTTACAAATTTTCCGTCCTCGAAAAAAGTACTTATTCTAGAGTTGCCAAGCTCTACACCTGCTCATACCTCTAACTACTCCCTTGGCTTCAATCCACTTCACGGTGTTGCAACAACAGGGACGGTGGAGGCTCGGCGACAGCAAGTGGCGGACCTCCGGCCATGATTTCGACGCCATCTGAGGCGGCTGGGACATTGACAGAGATGGCGAATCTATCTCGCCGGCAGTTGAGAGAGGGTAGACTGCATATATTTAATGTGGCAGCAGAAGGACTGGCCGGCGGCGGGAGGTGGGATGGCGGCGAGAGGTGTGGACGACAGCAGACGACGAGGCTGTTGGTTGAAGAGGTGGGGTCTGGGTGGTGCAACCGTGTGTTGCGTCCTGAGTGTGTGGTGTAAAATTGGATGATGTGTGTACTTGTGTGAGGGAGCGAATGAAGGTAAAGGGTTAGTTGTGTGTGAGAGAGAAGGCAGGTGAAGGGTTGAGTGATGATGATGACGTGTTGTAGTGTGAAAGTACACATGTGCCCTTAGACTAATAGTATTGTCCATCTAGTTCGTCAATATTACCAAAATGCCAGCACGAATTTTTATTTAATTGGATAGATCCTGATCGTTGGAACCGCATATCCAACAGTTTAAATTATATATATATAGGGTTGGGTTCAAGTAAGAAAGGGCCTTAGTGAAAGGAATAAGAGCACATCGTGGCCATTGGATCGAATGATCTAATTGTTAAAAAAAATTCACATGTTGATACTCATTAAGGGTAATATGGATATTTTACTCATCCCATTAACTAAAACTAATACTATCCGTGGGCCCCACATCATAACCCAACAACCCAAATTACAACAGTGGGCCCCACTTCCTAAATCAACCAAAGCATATGTGCACTCTATCTCTCTCATCCCGTCAATCCAATTCCCGTCACTGCCGCCGGCGAACAGCAGCCGCCGGCGAGCCGCCACCTCCGAGAGCCCAAACGCACCACCAATGGCCGCTGCTCTCGACGAAGCTGCCACCGCCAACCTGCAGCTTCTTCTCCATCTCGACGGGGACAAACACACACCACACACACATCTCGTCCTTCGCCTAACAACGCCGCCTACCGTCGCCACCACCATCGCATCACAAACTCTGGCCGACTCTCCAATAAACGCCGCACTCCGCCCGCTATCTCCAGTCGACAGTGTTCCTTGAAATAACTCTTGCCGCCAGAAAATTCAAAACTCTCTCCTCCAACAATTTTATTCTTCGTCATCGTCTGAAACCCAATCTTCCTCAACATCCAGTCTCCGAACGACGTCTGAAAACACACACGTCGAAAATTCAACGGCCGCCGGCTCCACAGATATTAGCCTCTGCCCCCCGCCCACGGCCTGTGATTCGTCACCACCTATTCCTCGTCGGAAGAATCTAAACGACACGTCTGGAGCGGAGTTGGAATGGTGAAGACTGAAGAGCAGCGATTTTTTTTTTTCGGAAGAAGAGCAGCGATTTTGTTGCAGCTTAAATTGTGAGGCACAAATTTGTAAATTAGATAAGATTGAAGGGTTTAATTACAAATGCAGATAATTTGTTTATATTTCAGTTAAACCTTGGGCCAAATCTGTAATTTATAAAAAAAATTATATATAAATATATATATTATTTATTTTAAATAAAAAATAAATTTGATTATTTAGGTACGTAATAAATAACTGCACTGCACGTTAGTGATTGTCGCAATGCGCAACAATGTTAGATCAAAGGTACATTAATGCATATGATAATGCACATTATCACAACAATGTGCATTTTTCACATATATTAAATTTTTAGTTTGTCTGTCTGGTTTCATCTTTATTTTTTTTTAAATAACATAATTGACCGAAATATATAAAAACATTATATTTTTATATCATATATATACTGTTTAGTTCAACAAACATAACATAAAATATTAAATAAAAAATATAAATATTAAATATAGTTTTAGTATATAAATAAATTAATAAGTACACAATAATGTTAATTAAAAATACACATTATTAAAATATTCTAAAATTGAAATGCACATCAAAAGTACATGCTCAATCGACTGGACAATAAATACTAGACTAAATGTACATTATTGCATTTGGAAAAGCACATCGTTAATTTTGGTGTTTCACATATCATGTATTTACAATAAAAAACTAATGTAAACATATTGAAAATATTGAATAAAATTATCAAGTATTAAATATTTTTTTATAATATAAAAAATAAATTATTTATAATAATTAAGGTAATTTGGTTAACCGGCCGAATAAATCGTGTATTTCAGTCTTGTTTAATTTTGGATGGGAAAAAGTTCGGTAGGTACAGACGCACAATAGGGACTGAAATATTGCACATTAGTGGTTGACATATTGCACATTAATGTGTGACAAACTGCACATTAGTGATTAAAACTGATATAACTAAAACTCTTCTGTCTGAATTTATATATTTCGGTTATTTTTAAAGTCTAAGTTATTTTGACTTCGTTAAAGTCAACTGAAATAAAGTTATTTTGATAATTTTAAAATTTATATATTTCGATTGTTTCAATCAAATTTGAATCCTGGTGGGATCTTGTTTTAGTCTTTTGATTGTGTAGTTGGTTGTGTGTTGTTATTCTAGCTTTGCTAGCGGCGGATTTCTAGGCGGTCTTCTGACCTGTCCTTCCTCTTTTTCAACCGTTGGCTGTTGTGTATTTGTGTATTCGCACATTTGTGCATTTTGATTTATAATATCATCTATCGTTCCAGGAAAAAAGAAAAATCAAATTTGAAAAAAGCAAGCTATATAAAAAATATTATTATTATAGTTGATATACTTTTATGCATTGCGAGTGCACATTATGATTATGTAGATAGCACATTAATGACTAGATGATTGCACAATATCAAAACTTACTACATGAAAATAAGAGAAATAACCGGACTACATTCAAATTACTATTATTATTATTTATATAATTTTATGCATCATGAGTGCACATTATGGTTATATATATTGCAATATAATAACTATATGACTGCACAATATCAAATGAAATCAATCGAACTAAATTTTTCGGCTTGAAATTTTATATTTCGGTTCAATTATTATTATTGTTATTTATTTTTAAAAACTCAGTTATTTTGGTTCGGAGTCGGTTATTTTTATGTAAAAATATAATTTATTTCCAGCCAATAGGATATAAACATATAAAAATTATAATTATGTTTTAATTAATTACAAATTTAACACATTAACTCAATTGTAAATATTTTAATATTTATAAAATTGCAACTTGGACACTAAGAGTTATCAAATTCTCAAAATTGAACTCCTAATACTTATTAAATTTTCAAATAAAGCAATCAATGCCAAACACATCTCATCAGCCCCTGAAAATTATACTCTCGACTTACAGCCACCATCACGCGTGTCCGGCACCGCCACTGCAGCCACCGTCATCTCTTCACAAGCACTCTCCCCGGCTCCGTTACTTCACGCCAATTTATTTTCTTATTTTTCTCGCCAGACTCAGATACAGCGATATGGCGGAGAAGACGAAGGCTCGACGGAGCTAAGTACAGTGGGATCTAGACCGGCGCGGCGGTTGTCGGCTAGGAGCGCGACTCTGCTAGTAGAGAATACTACGACCAGAGCGCTCCAAGGATGGCCAGATTTATGTCGACACGGTGGCCGGCGGTGGTGACATCATCGAAGCTCGCCGGTGGTGGAGGACGCGGCTGACATCGGGAGATAACGTAGAGATAACGGCGGATTTTGCGGCAGTAATGCTCGGCACTCGGCAGAGAAAACGGAGAGTTGGTGCGAGAGAGATGCGATGGGTGGTAGCGGGCGGCGTCGGGCGGCAACTGACGGCGGTGGGTGGTAGTAGTGGTGGTGGGTTTCAATTCTGATGGGGGAATTCAGCAGAATTTCAAAAATGTGTGTGTGTGTGTGTGAGAGAGAGAGAGAGATGAGAGCTAATTATGGTGGAGGTGGTTGGGCCCACTGGATAGATGAGTTGCAATATTATGTGCATTGTCAGTTTTACCCTTAATAAATGGGTATATATATACATTTGACCACAATGTGTATGTTAAATTACCATGTTGGCATTAATGATTGACCAGGTTTTGATTCAATCCTATCCATTGAGATGATTTATCCAATGCTCAAGATTTATTCTCATTTCTTTCACTATATTTCTTTCTCATTTGATCCCTATTCTATATATACTAGTAATTGATCCTGTGCATTTGCACAAGTATAAAACACGTTTTTGTTTGTATTTATTAATTAGACATGTACTTCTATCATATAAAAATTATTACTTTTTCTTAAGTTATTTTTATCATTCAAAATTAATTGAGATGTAAATTATATTTTAACCATGCAACGTTTACCTTAGTAACATGAATAAAATAATTGATATATTTGTCTCATATATAAAAAAAATTATTCGTGTTTCTGATTTTTAGAAGAAAAAAAATATGTGTCAATCATATTTTTCTTCCAACAACGCACCCAAATATAATGGTTACAGCTCTAATGTGCCAATCAACTTTAAGTTCTAACATTAGTCGTTACACATTTGAATATTTTGCTATCAAATTTTGAATTAATTTAACAACTGATCCAAAATATAGATAATAAAAATATATATTAAGGTGTAACGGTTTTAGCAGATTAGTGAGTAATTAATTAAAAAAATGTAACTCTCCTTTTGAAGCGAAATGAAAAGAGGTTTTATTAAATGCATCAACAAGTAATTATATATATATATATATATATATAGAGAGAGAGAGAGAGAGAGAGAGAGAGTGATTGGGCAAAAATTCTCTCGGGTGAGAGCGAAAATTCTCTCGGGTGGGAGTGATATCTAGAGATTAAGCTATCAGGGGTTGGGGTTTAGGGGATTTCTTTTTGTCTCTGATTTACCGATGGGAGATAAGTCGCCGGGAAGCTCTTCGAGGGGTGTTGTGGAAGAGGGTATGATGCGAAAGCTCCTCAATATGTCGCTATCTGCTACGGAAACTGGAGAAGTGGAAATCAAGGAAGCCGACATTAAGTCGAGTGAGGAGGAATGTAGGCGCAGTCTCTTTGGTAAGATTGTAGGGGATAGACACGCAGGATTACTGGGAATAAAGAGAACGATGGGTCTTATTTGGCGGATGCAGAACTCTATGGAAGTTAAGGAAATCAGTGAGAACTTTTTCCAATTCATATTTCTGTCCCAGGATGATATGAAGAAAGTGGGGTCGGGAAACAACTGGATGTATGAGAATCAATATCTGATTTTGAAAGAGTGGTTCCCAGGGTTGCATAAGAGACATAGCTGTTTTGAGGAAATCAATTTATGGGTGCAAATCATAAATGTTCCCTTAAATTGGATGAGCGTGGATGTGGGGGTCAAGATAGGGCAAATCTTTAACAAGGTGAAGAATTCCATTGTCTGCAAAGTAGGGGGAGATGTGGGCAGTTTCATAAAAATCCTGGTTGCCATTGATATAAATAAACCTATCCCTCGATGCACTTCTGTAAAGATGGGGAATGAGAAAGTTAGGGTCGCATTCAGGTATGAGAAACTTGTTAACCTGTGCTATTATTGTGGTATGATTGGCCACTTAGAAAGAAATTACAAGAAGAGGGAAGAAGACTTTGATAAAAACTGTGTGGTAGATGGGCAATATGGTGATTGGTTGAAGGTTAGTGAAACTTTTGGGGGTGGTAGGAGTTCTTATAGTTTTCACTCTGGGAGAAGGAATCGAATCCAAAGTCAAATGCAAACCATGACTCAAGGGTATCTGACAATCTGACACCTGATAAGGCTGCTACTGGTAATGCTCATAATCCAGGACTCTTTGAACACAGTATCCAACCTTTCAGCCCCAATCCAGCATCTAATAAGGAAGTGGATATGGCAGTGATCCAACAAACTGGAGCAACAGGGAAAGTTGTGGAATTAGAACAACATGCGGAGGGGGATGGTGAGATGTTAATGGAAACAGAAGGAATTCAGGAAGGTGGGGAGATTACTCCAGTAGAGATAGTGGAGCATGAATGCCATTATAATTTGAGGAAGAGATCTCAGGCTAGGTGGAAGAGGAGAATAACAGATAAACCAAACAAAAACCAGAATATTGTGAAAGTTGAGGATACCAAGTTTTATAGCCAACTGAAAAGAAGCAGAGACCTAATCATCTATGAGAGCTTGGAGAATTGTGTGGAAGGGGAACCCAGTGACAAAAAACAAAAAGGGTGCAATACTCAATCATTGGTGGAGAAGGCCAGCCACAAATGGCCCCAATGTGATCAATGAAGGCCATGGTGTGGAACTGTAGAGGACTGGGTGGGCCCTCTACAGTTTCCCAGATCAAGGATTCCAGAAGAATCCACCACCCAAATGTTATATTTTTATCTGAAACAAAGAAAAGTAGATTATTTACTAATACTGTGTGTAGGAAGCTTGGATTTCAGTCCAGATGGTACTTGGTGGATCCTATTGGCTCTAGAGGTGGATTGTTACTGCTTTGGGATTCTCAAACGGAGGTGAATCAGATTGTGGGCAATGAGTTTTGTGTGCAAGTGGAGGCTAAAGGGGCTGGGATTGAAGATTGGTGTTGGATTATATTTGTGTACATGAGCACTGACAGAATGGAAAGAAATAGGCAATGGGAATTTCTTGAGCAGAGGAAAAGCAGCTGGGGTGAAGGGTGGGTGATTGCAGGGGATTGGAATGATTTGGTGTCAAATGAGGAGAAGAGAGGGGGGCTGGCTAGGAATTCCAGTAGCTTTGTAGGTTTCCAGAACTTCATCAATAATATGGAAATGCAAGAAATAGCTCAGAAAGGGTCATTTTTCACCTGGGGTAACAATAGAGCTGGAGATGGCTATGTGGAGGAGAGACTAGACAAAATCTTTGCATCTGTTGACTGGTTGGTCAGATTTCCTAGAATGGAGGCCTCAAATTATTTCAGATCTGCCTCAGACCACAATGTGCTGCTTTTTGATACTGAGCTTCAGGTCAACAACAGACATAAGAGATTCCAATTCAATAGTGGCTGGATAGAGATGGAGGGAGTGTCTGAGGCTGTGAGGGAAGGGTGGCAGATTAGTGTGGATGGTTCAGCTTTATACCAGGTGCACCAGAAGATCAAGCATACCAGAATGGCTTTACTTGCTTGGCATAAACCTCATCATAGAAATCAGGAAAGAACCATTAAAGTCCTGACGGAGAAGATGGCTAGTTTGAGGGCTGAGGGAAGGGACAGAGACTGGGAGCAATGGGGCTTAGTGAAGAGTGAACTTGACAAAGCCCATCTTGATGAAGAACAATATTGGAGGAACAAATCCAGAGCTCTGGCCCAAAGCTGGGGATTGCAATTCAAAGTTCTTTCATGCCTTTGCCTCTCAGAGAAGACATGCTAATTCAATTTCCAAACTTACCAGCAGCTCAGGGGAGGAGTTTTCAAATTTTGAGGATATCCAGGGCCATATTTCTAGCTATTACTCAGAGCTGTTTAAATCAGAAGGATCAAGTGGGGGAGAGGAGCTGCTGTAACACATTCCTTCTTCTATCTCTGATGCTGTTAATTCTGAGTTGTTGAAAGCCTTTACAGAGGAGGAAATTAAAGCTGTGGTGTTCAATCTTGCCCCGGAGAAAGCACCTGGTGATGATGGTATGACAGCTATTTTCTTTCAAAAATTCTGGTATATTATCAAAGATGATGTCTGCAGAGCTATTTTCAGTTTCTTCTCTTCTGGGCACATGTTGAAAAATTTGAAGCATACTATTATCACTCTGATTCCTAAATGTATGTATCCTGTCTCTCTGAAAAATTATAGACCTATCAGTCTATGTGGGGTGATGTATAAGATTATAGATAAGTTGTTGGCTGAAAGATTGAAGCCTTGTCTGGAATTGTGTATTAGCAATGCTCAAACTGCTTTTGTGCCTGGTAGATTATTGCTGGATAATGTGGTTATAGCTCATGAGATTTTCCATTATCTTCATAGACATAGTTCAGGGCCTCATGTGTTTATGGCACTCAAATTGGACATGGAAAAGGCTTATGACAGGGTTGAATGGGATAGTATTAGGAGAGTGATGGGGAAGATGGGGTTTCATGTTAAATTCATTCAGTGGGTGTTGAGTTGTATTGCTGCTCCTACATTTTCTTTCAATTTGAATGGCAAAGTTTGTGGCTATGTGAATTCATCTAGGGGAATCAGACAGGGGGATCCTTTGTCCCCCTATCTTTTCATTCTGGTTTCCGAGGTGCTATCAGCTTGTTTAACTCATAAAATATCTACTTGTGAATTTAGAGGCATTAAAATTTCTAGAGAAGGTCCCATGATCTCCCATCTGTTGTTTGCTGATGATGCTCTTGTGTTCTGTAAAGCTGATGAAGCCCATGTGCTGTTGCTGCTGGATATTCTTCCTAAATATCAATTGTTTGCTGGTCAGAAAGTGAATTTGAGTAAGTCCTCTTTATTTTTGAGTAAAAATGGGAGTTCTGATCTCAGTAATAGATTGTCCATATTGTTGGCTGGGGTGGAGATTAAAAGATCTCCAGATATCTTGGGCTTCCTCTTGGGATTGGGGCTTCTAAAATTGATACTTTCAAATTTGTGGTTGATGTGGTGAAGGATAGAATTAGTAGTTGGAAGAATCATTTACTTACTACTGCAGGAAAGGAGGTGTTGGTGAAGAGTGTTCTGAGTGCCTTGCCTGTCTTTGTGATGTCCTGCTTTGTGATTCCTGTTAACATCTGTAAGGAGATTTGCCAAGTGATATCTAAATTCTGGTGGAGGAAGGGTGGTAATAAAGAGAAGGGTATGCATTGGCTCTCCTGGGACAAACTTGCTATGCCTAAACATGATGGTGGCCTGGGTTTCAAAGACTTGAAGTTGTTTAACAAGGCTCTGATTCTTAAACAGTTGTGGAGGATTATTGAGAAAACTAATCTTCTGGTGAGTCAACTTCTTATGCATAAGTACTTTAGAAACTGCTCTATCTTTGACTGGAATAATACAGGGGGGGCCTCATGGCTTTGGTCTTCCTGGGCTTCTTATCTTCCTGAATTGCAGAAACATGTTAAAATTACTATCAGAAATGGCAAGAGCACCAGGCTTAATGATCCAAATTGGGTGCCTGGCCTGAACAGAGCCAGTCCTGAGCTTAAGGTGGGGATTGATGGCAATCTTTTCTGGGTTCATGATCTTCTTCAGGCTGGTGGTGTGTACTGGGATGGAAATCTTATTAGGGCTCTGTTTTCAGAAGATGATGCTGGGAAGATAATGCAGATAAACTCTTTGAATCCAAGAGCTGAGGATAAAAGGCAATGTGACTTGGTGGACAAAGGAAAGTTCTCTGTTAAGAAGGCTTATAGTAAAATGTTGGCTGCTAAGCTGGCTTCATCTGCAGTTGCTGAGAGCAGTGGGCAAGCTGAGGGCAATAAAAGAGCTAGAAGAAGATGCTGGGAGTTGAAGGTGATGGGTAAGGTTAAACATTTTGTGTGGCAAGCCATTTCAAATATTTTACCTGTCAATTCTAATCTGCAGAGGAGGGGAATGGAGGTTGAGGGTAGATGTAGAGTATGTGGGGAAGGAGAAGAGACACAAGAGCATGTTCTGTTTTCCTGTATAAAGGCTGTGCTAGTTTGGAAAATTGCTCCAGTCCAGTGGGATAGGGTTCTTGAAGAACAGCTTACTGTCAAACAGTGGTGGTGGTGGATTAGCAACATGAAGAAGGATGACATTTCTGAAGATAGGATTCAGCTATCCACATACATCTTGTGGTGGCTATGGAGAGCTAGAAATTTGTGGATTTTTGAAGGGCAATGGCACCCAGAGGAGTGGATTGTTAGGGCTGCTGTTAGAGACTGGATTTAATACAAATGCAGACACACTGCTGGATGATGACAGTACCAAGTCTGTAGCCTAGGTCTAGGGTCAGTGGGTTATTTGGCTTGTGTATGTTTGGTTCATGTGCATGTATTTTTATAGCTGTGTTGTAGTTCTAGTTCAGGGTTCCCTGTGCTGTTGTCCAGGTCTTTGGTTTACTCCTTTGGTTAGTGTTTTTATGTGGTTTGGATGATTGTTAGTAGCTTTTTTAGGCAAGCCTGTGGCTTGGTCTCTCATTTGTTCGGAATTGGGGTTTTTCCCTTGTACTCTTTCGCTATTTTGGTATTAATGGAGCTGTTATATCGTTGGAAAAAAAAAGAGAGAGAGAGAGAGAGAGAGAGAGAAGGGATCATATGAGAAAGAGGGATAGTTAAAGAAATAAGAATGATCCTACACCATTAGACTCATAATATCAGTGGTCAAGATGAAGTCAAAATTGAATAACCTGGTCAAACACGCGGTGGCAAAACTATAAATAAAGAGCATCTTGTGGTCAAATCTATATCATTAAGGGCAGTTCTGTAATTTCTTCACCCACCCACTTAGTGGGTCCCACCACTAACAAAGCCACCTATTCTCTCTCGTACCCCACACACACGCACCAAACACACACTCGTGCACACAAAAAAACTCACACAGACGCACGGAGAGGAGCTCGACATTCACCTTCCTCATCTGGCGCCGGTCGTCGACCGTCGGCCACCGTCACCTGTCACGTCATCATCGGCCACCGTCATCCCCTAATCCGCCGTCAGTCGCACATCAGCACAGCCGTCGGACGACCACCAAACCGCCATCGCCGTCCCCGTCCACCAAACATGCACTCTCCTCCGTACTCAGCCATGGCTCCGCCATCCACCAAATCAACTGTGTTATCCATATCCTCCGTCGCGTCGCCCATTCCTCGCCGTCCCCACTAATTTTTTGTTGAAATTTCATATGAAATCGGGGCCTTCTTTATGCAATTCACACTTTGATGTGTCGTGTGTGGAATCGGAGCTCCCCAAGGTAGGCGTCGCATGTCGAAGGCCCATCGGCAGCGACCATCGCCGTGATTTTGGTCGGAGATGTTGGTGGGGGTGATAGAGCTAGGGCATGTTTTTGAGAATTTGATAAGACATAGGGACCTCTTTGCAATTTTATAAGTTTTATTATATTACAATTTAGTGTATGATTTACTGTTGCTGACATTATTGATGATGGTAGAGATTGTGGACCACGAGTTATCTAGATAGATATATAGACTGCACACAATTCTAGGGCCCGTTCTTCATTGGATTTATTTTAATTGATGTTAAAGTTTCTCAATTTTTAACATCCACTTGACCAGTAATGCTAAGGAGCTAACTGTTTGCTCCGTTACGGAGCCAACAGCTCCAATGTGGGACAACCCCACATGGAGCTGTCCCATTGACTGTTGGCTCCTTAGCATTATTGTCCACTTGACATTCTTGATATTCATTAGCGACGTTATGAAGATGAGAGTTATTATGTTTTTTGTTGGATATTAATGTTATTTTTACATAATAATAATAATAATAATAATAATAATAATAATAATAATAATAATAATAATAATAATAAGCATATTCATTAGCTACGTTATGAAGATGAGAATTATTATGTTTTTGGTTGGATATTAATGTTATTTTTACATAAAAAAAATATATAACAATAATAATAATAATAATAATAATAATAATAATAATAATATATTTTATATAAGTAGGCCTCGGTTATTTACAATTAAATAAAAAACAAGTCGACATTGAACCGAAATAACCGAGTTTTTTAAAGTAAAAAAAAAAATCAAACCAAAATATAAGATTTGGAACCAAAATTTTTAGTTCGGTCCATTTTGTTCGGTAAATCTGTCAAAACTCCTAGGCCCTGTGCCATCTGATAGTCATTAATGTTCAATTCGTATAACCATAATGTGCAATCGCGATACGTAAAAATATATAAAAACTAATACTATGTTTTTGTTTCTTTTTTGTTTTTTTTTTTCATTTCATTCGTTATGGTGCATTCTGTTAATCAGAAATGTGTAATTTGTCTAACACTATTCTGCAATTATAACACATTTATTAAATCATACATGTTTTAACAATTTGACTCAAATCATACTAAAACTAAATCGAAATAATCGATTTATTTGTGCAATTAACTGAATTAACTTAAATAATCGTAATAGATTATTATTATATTATAAAGATATAATTAGTAGTTCTAATATATTTACTTAATATTTATATTATATTCGGATGAAAAATATTATATATATATATATATAAATTATATAATTTTATGTGTTTGATTATTTAAGTTATTTTCGTAAAATAAAGACGACATCGAACCAAACCGAAATTTTAAAATGAAAAACAGATAATCGAACCTAAATAAAATAAAAAATCGAATGAAAGTTTTATATCAGTCAGTTTTTCGCTATTTCATATGAAAAATATATTTAATATGTTAATATTTTTGTTTATTATTTTATATTGTTTATGGTTGAAAAAAATTGTGTACGGTCGATTTCGATCACTTTTGTAAAATATGATAGTCGTGTAATGTGTAGCATGTTGTTCTGTAAAGTGCAACGTGTTGTATTATAAGGTGCAACGTGTTGTATTATAAAGTGCAACGTGTTGATGTATAAAGTGCACTACTATAATTTTGGTACGTTACCATGATTATATATTTTGTGTGGATAACTGATGTGATTGATGTTAAAGTATTACATATATCCGTTTTTCACATTTATGTTGTGTGGTATTTTGGCAGGAGCTGTTGACGTTAACTGTGGAGTATGGTGATAAAGTGCAACTTATCGTTTATAAAGTGCAACTTGTTGTTTTATAAAGTGCAGTGTTCTGATATATAAAGTGCACTAATTTATATGATCACATATAAATTATTTGTTTTGTTAAAACTATATTTACTAGATATAATTTTATATCAAATTAACCTAACTAATTGAAATAATATTATTGTCATATTATCATGAAGTCTATTGATTGGGTAATTTTTTATGTGCATTTTAAATTTATAATAGATCAGGGTATTTTTTATGTGCATTTCAATTTTATTATAGACCGGGGAATTTTTTATGTGTATTTCAATTTTATAGACTTTAATAATATGTATGTCAATTAACGTCATTTTCATTTGTCTAATGATTTATATAATAAAAATATATCTAGTATTTATAATTTTTTATTTAATATTTTATATTATTGTTTATTGGAAATAAATAATATATGTAGATATAAGATAAAAGAAAAAATAAATACTATTGTGCATTTCGGTAGTCACTGATGTGCATCTCGTCCAAAATTATTTGCGTATTTTGCTGTGTATTTTTTTTCGTATGCAATCCAAACTAAAACTGAACCGAGCTAACCGAAATTACACAAATGAATAAAATAATTTATTGTTTATATTATAAAATATAATTAATATTTTAAAATTTTATTCATATTGCATTCTTCTTTAGTCTTTATTCCATAAAAAAAAATAAAAAAAAATAATCTTCTTATATCCTAATGCACCCATTGAATCCGTATTGCTTTACTTTACTACTTTCCTTTTGTGTTAGGCTAGAACTCTAGCTGGTGCAGTAACAGTAACAGGCAAAGGTCAATCTCAGTTACATATTTTATATACATATAAAAAAATATAAAACATATTATATTTTATATTTTTATAAATTACATATTTAGCCCATGGGCTAAATTGAAATATAAGCAAAATGTCTGAAATTACAATCAGGCCCTTGAGATTAATCTAATTTACAAACTTATGCCCTTGACATATGAACTAAATGCAGCGTCTTCTGTAATATCCCTTTCAGTTATCTCAGTTATTATGAGTTATTGTTCCAAGAAATAAGTGATTTCGAGTCCAAGATAGTAAGTTATCGGACCGAAATTAAGAATTTTCAAGGAACAAGTCACACGAGTCGTGTGAAGAGACACACGAGTCGTGTGAAGCCACACGAGTCGTGTGGAGAGGCACACGAGTCGTGTGGGATGGAGACGTGATGAAAGTTAGCCTCGGGATTTTGACACGAGTCGTGTGATGAGCCACACGAGTCGTGTGAAGCTACACGAGTCGTGTGATATAGTACACGAGTCGTGTGAGAAGATGAATGATTAAGAGCAAAAGTGTCGGCAAGCCACACGAGTCGTGTGGCAAGGCACACGAGTCGTGTGAGGCCACACGAGTCGTGTGACTCCCCCACACGAGTCGTGTTGCCGACAGTCCAATTGGATTATTGAGAATTCGATTGTGACTTTAACCAAAGGCCATTTTTGATGTTTAAATATGCTTTGGATGGATGAATAAGTAAATCATAAGATATTTTAAAGATTATTTAAGTTTATAAGTTAAATTTTATATTATGATCATTTAATCACTCTATTTGGATGTTTCTCCAATTTGTGCCTATAAATAGAGGCTTAAACCTCAGAGTTTTTACACCAAAATAATTACTAAAGTCATATGAGTTTGTGAGAGAGAGTGAGAAGGAGTAATCTTTGGAGAAGTAAGGACATTAGAGTGAAGAATCAAGTTTTTAACTTCACCTAGAAGGAGGTAATTTACTTATCTTAATGTTTCATATTTGAGTTCATGCTTTTATGATAAGTTTACATGTTTATGAGTATGTATATCATGATGTAGAAGTTGGAGTTTATAATTGATAAAATGAGTTAAAGATGTTAAAGATCAATTATGTGATATATGTGCTTAATGAAATGAGATGTTGATTTGCATGAGATTTTCATGAAGATATGAATATGCTGGAAAAGTATGATTTAAATGAATAATTCTTGTGTAAAAGAGGAGTACATGAGATCAAGAATTTAGTGATTTGGCATAGTATAACTTAAGTTATGAATTTTTGAAGATGAACATGTAAGATGAAGTTTATGTTCACTATGACTTTAAATTCTCATAACTTGATGAATATGAATGATTAAATTATGAAATTTTGATGACATGTCTATTTAGAAGTTGAGATTATGACTGTTAAATTTCATAATTTAAAGATGAGAAATGAATGAGTTATGAATATGAGATGGCATATATGTGAAGATGAGTATATATATGCAAGAATATTCATGAGATGATCAAGATGTTAAAATGAGATTTTTATGATCTATTCTCATATGAGTGATGAGCAAATTGATGAAGTTTGATTTAATATGTTGAGTATACAATTTTATAAAAATTGTATTAAGTATGACATATTAATATTATGATTAAAAGTGATGATTTGGAAGATGATTATAATTGAGTTTATTTCACTTTTGAGTTATTTAAGTGAAAAGTGATAAATTAAGAGATGAGATGTATGATGGATTAAGTACTTGATTGAGTTAAAGATCAAGATGAATTTATATGTGTTGATGATGATGATGTTTAAATATTTAATCAAGTATAAATGTGAAGTATAGTTATTTTCATATTTGAGTTAAAATATGATAAGTTTAATATCATATTGATGTTTATAAAGACATGATTTATAAGTTAAGTAATTGAACTTGAAGAAAAGTTAACTTGAGAAAAAGCATGTTGATGAATTTCTATAAGATTGGATGAGTTAAGAATCCTAAAATCTTATTGAGTATATGAGCATAGTACTTAGTATATTTGTTTATATTTGATGTAACTTGCAGATTTCGTTACAGCACAGCACTTATCGATTTACAAATGATTTCAAAGATAAAAAGGTGGGGACCCTGAACGGGTATCACATTGAGTACGATATCGATAGAGATGGGATGAGGAGACCATGAGTTGTCTCGGAGTATATCCTAAGTATTGATTATACGCTTGGGAAGAAGGCCGCTGAGTTGCCTTACGAGTATTTCCTAAGTTCTAATGGAGGCCGTTGAGTTGCCTTGAGAAATATCCATTAGAGTGTGCATATGTACTTAATCAAGAAGAGAAAGAGAAAAGTTTGAGTTTATGTACCAGAATAGATTTCTGGTTACCGATCAGATATCGGTATATGATGATCTTTATCGTTACTCACCCCCATGAGTTTTAGTTTCAGGTAACAGGTCGAAGAGGAGGTGTGAGTGGAGCAGTGTTGGTGTGGATCGTGGATTCAGATGAAGTCAAGCTTTGATACGGACATTTAAACCAGTCTGTATAATTAACTACGTTCTAAAAAGTATACTTTGATTTATTTATCCGCTACGCAATATGATGATTGAACTTGCATTTTTAAATGAAGTTATGATTTGAAGTTTTTAACATTTAGAGAAGTATGAATATGGTTAAATGCAAGTTTAAAGAAAATCTATTTAATTATGTCTAAAAGAGTTATTAGACAAGAGTTTAAAGATAAATGGATTTTCAAGATGTAAGGTTGAGTAGCATCCCGAACTAGTCGCAAAAGATTTCGAAAGAGATATGAGTATTTTTGAAGTAAAAGTTGCGAAAAATTTACTCTGATAAGCGGGGTGTTACATCTTCCCCGTGTACTTTCCTTGCGGACCACACCGTCCCGACCGGAGCTCTGCAACGTGGTCGGAGTGTTCCCTGCCGGTCGTCATGTGCAAGGACGTGCGGCCACTGGCATCATGCTCGCCGGCGAGATCGGCCCTCTGGCCTCCGGGAGATTAGCATCGTGGCCTGCGGGTCGACTTGGCTCTGCCGCCTTTCGCATCGACGTGACGAAAATCGACGGCCTTGCGACGTCAGGAACAATGGACGGTGGACGGTGGCCGGTGGCAGACATCCATGGCGGTGGTCCAACTCTTCAGCTGGTTAAAACATTGTGTATGTGTGTGAAAAGTGTGTGTGCAGAGAGAGAGTGTGTGTGTGAGAGAGTAATGTGTGTGTGTGTGTGGCCGGCGACTGGAGGTTCGCCGACGGGAGTAGTGACAGTGTGTGTTTCTGTGTGTGCGGGTCTGTGAGTTATGTGCATGCGTGTGTGTATGTGAGAGAGAGTGTAGGGGTTGGGTGGGTGGTTGACGGGTAGATAGTATTAGGTGAGATATTTATTAATGTGGAGTGGTGCCTACATGTTTGAGTGTAATGTGTGAAATTACTTCAATACCCTTAATGAAGGTATATTTTTGGCTTTTTTACAAGTTGTTGGATCATGCGATCCAATGGCTACGATTTATTCTCATTTCTTTTATTGAGCACCATTGTCATGTGAATCCATATATATAGGGTCGCGCTCCGGTGAGAATGGTGCTAAATAAAAGAAATAAGAATAAATCTTAGATATCGGATCGGATGATCCAACAGCTAAAAATAATCTTAGATTTTAAGCACCCGAAGGGCAGTGTTGTATTTTTTATACCCAACAAATCTGTGGAGCCAACTTCACGCAAACTAATTCAAACCCACCAACTCACACGGTCACACCTACCCACTCATTCTCTCTCCCACACAAGTGGTCCCACTGTTCTCTCTCACACCCAACACACCTACAGACACACACACACACACACACATTACACACAGGTATACATACACATATACACACACGCACGTCGTTTTACAGCCATCACCGGCCATCACCCGCCACCGTCAACCTCTCCACCGTCACCTTCCTCGTCCGCGAACAGAGGCACTTTTGACGCCCAGAACCGCTGCCCCGTCAACTCCTCCTCCACCTCCGCCTCATTCACTCCTCCGGTCGCCGCCACTGTTCCAACTCCTTACCCGATCTCCGCCGCCGACCTTGAGAGACTCCAGATCCTCGACAACATCAATGGCGACACAATCTTCAAGGTTCGATAGTGCCACACCTTCGCCCTAAAATTCGTCCTAGGCAGCACCGGCTCGCCGTCCGCCGCCAGTATCCACTGCCGTCCTCTGCCGCCGCAACTCCCCCAATGTCTCCGCGAATAGAGGCATGTCCTCCTTGACAGAAGCAAAGTTCATACCGCCATAGAATCGGACGGCGAGAAGAAGCCGGCAGCAATGACATGAACCAATAGGCTTGGGGATTTGGTGTTGGGAATTAGATAATTGTGAGGGATTTACTTGTAATTTTAAAAAGTTTGTTTATATTGCTGGTTAGTCCTTGTGCCAAATATATAATTTATCACAACTCAATTGGACGTATTTGTAATTTTAAAAGTTTTGACTATATGTCAATTTAGTCCTTGGGCCAATATATAATATATAAAAACTTATAAAAACATGTTGTTATCATACGTTTTTTTTATAAATATAAGCTAATAATAAATAAAATTAGTAAATAAAAATAATATAAAAAAATAAATAATAATAAATAAAAATATGGAAATCGTAAATAAATAGTTATAATAAAAATAATAAATTATTTTGATTATTTAGACATATTCGGTTAATTTTGAGTTTGGATTTGCATATGAAATAACTCATATGCACAACAGTGACTATCAGCACGATATTATTATGCCAATGTACGTTAATTCATACGATAAAGTCCATAATTCGATGTACAATTATGTATATTAAATTAGTTTTCGAATACACATAATTTATATAAAAATATATAAATTATTGCAATTCATATAGCGAAATGTTGCACTTTATAAAACAACACGTTGCACCTTATAAACCATCACGTTACACTTTATTATCACACTCCACAATTAATTAGTGAGAGAAGCTCCCAACAAATTATTACGCAATATAAATCTATAAACTTAATCTACATAATACTTTAAGATCTATCACAAAAAAAACACACACACACACACAAGCATGCCAACGTATCAAAATTTCTGTATTGCGCTTTACGTATCCATACGTTGCACTTTATACGGTATTACATTGCACCTTATAATACGACATGTTGCACTTTATAAAATAACACGACGTACCTACCAAAATTACAACCAAAATTATAGTAATTATGCTAATCGATCGAATAATATTAGTTGGTTAATGGTCGTATTTTTTTTTAAATAAACAAAATAACCGAATATCCCGAACTATATGAAAAAATATTACCTATTTTTTTATTTATTTATATTTTTTTTATGAAAATCAATAGTATTTTCCTATCTATAATTTTTATGTATTGCGAATGTACATTAGGATTACACGGATTGCGCATAAATATCTACCAGATTGCACAAAATCGAACGAACAAAAATTTAATAAATTTTATATTTTGGTTTGATTGTTATTATTATTTTTTTAGAAATCGATTATTTCAATATGATGTCATTTTCTATTCAAATAACCAAAATAAAAAATAAATTATATTAACTAATATAGTTTGCAGTTAAAACAAACATGCCAAAATCTGACCAAATTGAAAAAAGTTAGATTTTTGTAATTTGCAGTTAAGTCCTTAGGAGTTCTCTAATTTACAAAACCTAGTCCCCCAAATTCCAAAAACACGAAACTCCAAAATCAACTCATCCCCATTAGAAACATCAGCCGTACCCATCGCAGATGCTCACGTCCGTTGCCGGCGGTACGTGCTGATGGCGACATGGTCGAGTCCAGCGGCGGTTGCCTAAATCGAGGTGTGACCCGAATTTTCTCGGCCACCTCACACTAGGTCGGCTGCCTGAAATTACCCACACGAAACACAAGCAGTACTAAAATTACATTAGTACACTTTATACATCAACATGTTGCACTTTATAAAACAACACGTTACACTTTAGAAAACAGTACGCTGCACTGTATCACGACTATCATGTTGCACAATAGGTATCGAAACAAACCGAACTAAAAAATTTTCAACCCAAAAACAATAATGAAAAAACAATAAATAAAATTATTAACATATTAAATATAATATAACAATTTATTTCTATTATTTAGGATAATTCGGTTAACCGAACCGAATAAACTAATTAATTATGTTTCTTTTCAATTTGATTTGGGACAAAAATTGAATCTGCACAATACAGACCGACACCGTTTTGGGCGAATTATACCTTAATAACTATTAGATTGTACTTATTTCGTTTACATATATACAAATTTATTTAAATTAAAAAATAATATAAATTATCAAATAAAAATATCTTAAACACTAATCATGGTTTCTATAATAAATAATATAAGTTATGTCGATCGTCTTGGTAATTTATATTAACCACAAATTAAATCGATTATGTCGATCTTTTAAAACACTAAATATGTTTTATAGAATACAAATAATAATTTATTTTGGTTATTTCAAATTTGAAATTTTATTTTTTCTTTTTCTAAACCAACATATGATCAATATATTGCAATTTGTAGACATTTTGTTACTTGAATTTTTAATGTACTCATGCAAACACACTAATATGCATTTTATTTATCATTGTTGTACATTTAGTATTTTTTTTTTAATAATACACAGATTTTTTTTTATTTTATTTTTCACACGATAAAAAAGACTTAATCAAACTCAAAGAAACGTTTTACAGACGATCAACCAACTGACTGAACCGAGTACCAACATTACACCACTGATCTTGTAATGTATATTTATTCTCATTTTTTTCATTATCTCTCATTCTCATATGATACCACATATATATATATATATATATATATATATATATATATATATATATATACTAGTTGGGTCACGCCGTGCACGCACGGCGGACTCAAATTTTTAGTCTAAAAATACAGTGAAAATTTGTCATTAGTTGTAATGATCAGTGAAGTTTATGTCCGATTTTTACACTGGATGTTAACAAAATAAGCTTTCACCATAAAGGACTCATTGCACAGGTTTATAGATGTAACGCCCCACTTTGATTTTAAGGAAATTCTGGACTTTCAGAAAATCAGAATAAATTTTTCAAAATTTATTTCAAACATTTGTGGCGTTACTCATATTTTTCAAATGACATAACATCAATCCATAACATAAATCATCTAACTCCCAGATCGGGATCCATAAATCCATAAATCACCATTTCACCCAAAACGGGTTCCCAAAATAAAACTCAAGTTTTAAGACATGACAATGTCAACGGGGCATCTCCCCAATAGTATCTCAATACTTCATAAATTCTCAAGTTCGAAAATGCATAAATCGTAAATAGTCATAAAGATAGCGGAAGCAAAATCATTTAATAACCGGTCTCATAGACCGACTACCACTCTTTCTACTCCGCCGTCGTACCTGTCTTGCTTAACCTGAAACGTGAATTTCAGGTGGGTATGAGCACAGTTGGAAATCGTAGTGCTCACCACTATGCAATAAACATTTTCATAACATAAACAGAAATAGTATGATCACAGCATGTATAAGAATCAATCAAGTATCCCCAAATTTTTCATCATAAATTCACAGTGTTCAGACTCATGTGCACATCTATACCAATAGACTACTGCCGGTAGATGTATCGAAGGCCCTCACTCGGGTCATGCTTCGAATGCCCCATGGGCTCTACATCTATGCCCTCCGGTCCTATACATCGAATCGCCCCAAGGGCTTCCATCGATGCCCGGTCAGTAGGAGTAACCCCTCGGGTTTTCATTTCATAAATACGGGACAACCGTTCGACGGCCGGTACAGCTCACATCGAAGGCTACATGATTCATAAGCACGCATTGATCATATTCAAGTACGATAAACAATTTATTGCATAGTCGATTTTTAAATAAAACCCACCTGGATTTCCGGGTTGAAAACCTCGACAAGCAAAGGGTGTAGGTCGAGGCTTGACTCCTCAATTACCTACATTCGTTGGGACTTGACTTAGAACCTTATCAAGGTTTTTACTT